CATGATCCAGTGAAGGTGGCCCTGCTCAGTGCAGGGTTGGAGGAGAAGACTTTTAAAAGGGCCCTTGTAACCCAAACCATTCTGTGACCCCAAGCAGAAAACCACGGTGATTTGGGACAGCACCAAAATGCTGCCACAGCGCCATTTCCAACCTCCCCACCCAACCAGCCCTGAACCAGCCTGCACAGGTCCTGCTGCCTCCACACCACGGTAGCTTTATCTCTGTGACAGGTCGATTTAAACTTTACTTTTTCACCTGGTTCTCTCATTTTCCCTGGCTCCACTGCACATCCACGACTCTTTCCTTGAAGCACAAAGCTCCCTTGCTGCTGCTCTGAACAGGACAGCATCCCCTCCCTCCTTCAGGAGGCCATCACACAGACCTTTTCTTCTGTCCCTCAAGGCAAAAACCACTGCCAAAAGCCAGCCTGCAGCCCCCTGTGCTCCATTTGGAGCAGACAGGGAGGCACCCACCCGCTGCTTCTGTTCCTCCGTGCGGACGTCGCTGCGGACGTTGGCCCACGGAATGTCCTCGGGCCACCAGATGGGCTTGCAGCTCTCCTTGCCCCAGCCTGGCTTCCCACGACCCGTGGAATACTTCAGCATCTCGGGGATGAAGGCTCTCAGCTGTGCCTGGAACAAACAGAAGGTTGAGAGGTGTTTAGAATTCACATCTTGGGTAGTTTTGAGGTGCGTCGTACGGAATTATCGCGTTCAACTTCCATCTTGGAGCCACCAACTGGAAGAGGCCTGAAAACCCAAGGAAGGTGGACGATACTTTGTCATCTTCTCCCAAGATTCAGCATGGCAGCAGGTGGGAGAAACAGAATTCAATCAGCCAAAACAAAATTACAACACCAAGGCACAGCCATTGTATTGACATTTCACAGTTCAAACACAAGCAGAAAGAAAACAAGGCAACCTGAAATGGAAAAAAAAGCATCACAAAAACCTATTAAAAACCCAATGTCCCTACAGTGGCAGTGTGAGCTGATGCATCATTTACAGAGATGCTGCGAGGGGATGGAGCTTCAGTGACTGCTGAAATGTGGAAACCACGATCTCACACTTCTCCAGCCCTGCCCTGCCAAAATAAATAAAGAACTCACAAAGGGTTTTGTGACAAGACTGGTTTTGTACCAAGGACTCCTTGGAGCACCAGGAAAAGGCTGGTTCAG